AAGGCCAGGAAAGTTGCCCAGGGTGGTGAAAGGTGGCAGCGCTGGCATTGCAGAGGTGACCTAGCTGCAGGATCAGTGTCCTCTTACTGTGTCCTGGTGGCCCAAATCAGAGCTCCAAATACAATTATCCCAGTGTCTCCCATCAGATGCCAACTAGCTCACCTTGCCCCTGCTACGCGGACATGTCCGGCACAGTGACACTTCATCCTTACCATCTGCTAGGTGCATAAGTGGACAAACGAATGCATGAGAAAGGGAATTCCTCATGGCCGAACTCTAGCATAATAACCATGCTAGTTTTGACAGAGTAGATCTTCATGTGTGAATCAGGAACCACTCCTGCCCGGTCCGGTGTACCGTCACTGTCTTTAAGAAGCCAGAACAGTTCTACTGTGCCAACTCACCTGGGGCAAGAAGCTGGTAAGGTGCCTCCTGCCAGCACCTGGCTCCTGGTCAGCCTAGGGCACGTCTCTTTCTCTTTTTGTCTCACCTTTGCTGACAGCCTTGCTGGCTCCTGGAGGCTCCTTATCTCTGTCTGCCAGGCCCATCCACGTCTTTGTATGTGTGCTGAGCCTAGACGCTTTCCAAAGGGTGGAGGACCTGCAATTGTAATTTTACTTCATCATCACTGTTGGGGAGTAGCAAACAAACATTGGTACAATTGCCTGCCATTCTGCAAATGTTTTAAGTAGGCAAGTCATTACTCTGGAACCCAAAAAAGTATGAAGTTGTGTCATAAATTTAGAAGCTGCTAGAATCCTGGGTTCTGTCTATGTTGGCTGCTCCTTCAAGTTGTAGGGCTAAAGCTAATACTAATACACTAATGAGCTGATTTAGTGATGTTCTAACAAAGCACTGGACAATGGGTAAGTTTATAAAGAAAAGCAGTGTCAATTTTTGTTGTTTTGAGACCAGGTTTCCCTGTGAATCCTTTATCAAACATTTATCTTTTTTTTTTTTAGACAAGATATCTCTATAGCTTTGGAGCCTGTCCTGGAACTCTGTCTCTGTACTGGCTGGTCTCGAATTCACAAGGATCCACCTGCCTCTGCCTCCTGAGTGCTGGGATAAAGGCATGTGCTGCCACCATCCCACTCAAACATTTATCTTGATACTTATATTTTCTTGCCTCGGCCTCTAGAGCACTGGGATTGTAAACCAGCATGCTATGTCTGGTTTACAAAAGAGGCTGGAGGCCAGCAGTGCAGGATGGAGTGGTTCCATTATTTCATTCTTTGGTGAAGACCCAGTGGTGCATGGGAACCAGCACAGTAGTGCTTGGGATCCCAAGGAAGTGCCTGTAAGAACCAGCCCTGCTCTAGACAAGGAGGAGAGGCCAGACTTGCTTCATGTATCATAGCCCCCTAGGGAGAACTAACCATGGGGGTCCTCTGCAAACTCCCTTAACCCTTTCTGCTGACAGCTGGCATCCTCAGCCTGGGTCCCAGTGACCTCCCACATGCTCTACCTCTCAACATGCCACAACCTCTCCATCAACACACCAGGAACAAACCTCCAAACCACAAAATCTCCAGGGACCACAACCCAGTCATGGGGGTTGGGGGCTTGAGAATTTAAGTTCCACCCACAATTTCCAATGGCCACAAATGTATATGCTAGGAGGCTCTCATATCCCAGCACTTGAGAGATGGATGATCAGACATTCAAGGTTGTAGTGAGTTCAAGGTCAGCCTGAGCTACAGGAGACCCTGTGTCAAAAACACATTATGGGAATTGTCCTTCTATATATATATGTTCCTCTTATTGGTTAATGAATAAAACACTGCTCAGTCAATGAGGCAGGAAGATAGACAGGACTAAGAGACAAGGAGAATTCTGGGAAAGGTAGGCAGAGAGGAGTCACCATGTGAGCCGCCAAAGGAGTTAGTAGTCTGGACCCTTCTTTGGTAAGATAAGACCACATGGAAATACTTAGATTAATAGAAATGGGTTAATAATTAAGACAGGGCTAGCCAATAAGAAGCCCTAGTCACCAGTCAACAGTTTTATAACTAATATAGAGTCCGTGTGTTCATTTGGGGCTCAAGGGTCACAGGACTGGCCAGGACTAAGAACCTCTCATTTTACACACACACACACACACATACACACAATAGCTAAAACCAGTTTTTTTTAAATAAAAATACAACTTCAGCATAGATCCCTGGGCCCCACTTCTACCCAGTTCCTTTCTGCTCAAACTCTTTAATTTTCACAGCACAGTACATCCATCTGCTGTATGAGAACAGAGTCTACGGCATGAGGGTTTCTAGACAGGGGGATGAGTGCCAGTGAGCAGAGACCATTTTAGGCAGAGGTCAGCGTGGATGTGGCTGGCTGAACCATATGTACAGCCCAGGACTCTGAGATGAGTGTACCCAGGCAGTGCCCAAAGTCAGGCTGCCCCAAACTTCAAAGGAGAAAGTGGAAAGCCGAGTGTACTGTGTAACATCAAACTGCTGTAGGAAAGAAACCACATGTGTGCAATTGAGAGCCATAGTGAGATCAGATGTGGATGACTTTGCTGAGCCTTTCTTCTTGGGTCAGGGCACTCTCGGGCTACATCTTTGGGTATTCAGGTCCCTTTGGAAGCTGAATTTGGGGTGCCCTTAGAAATGTAATCCAGACCTCCTGGAGCTGGCCCAGCAGCAAGTTCTTCCAGGCTCTGCTTCCTGTTGGCATTTTTTGGTCTTGGTTTCAGAGGACCTACATGGTGATGTAGGCTGTCTGGGGGCATAAATCCCCTTTTATATTCCTGGGTCAGTCTTCTCTCTCAACTTTTTGGTCCTGCCTGGCTGAGATTCTCCATAGTAGCTCAACAAGCCCAGTGATAAGTGAACTGCTTCTGGGATCACATGTCCTCAATTATACCAACAGAAGTCTATAGTTTCAGGAAGGCCCGAGCCCATGAACTGGGGTGTTGGCTTGCTGTGGAAACATGAGAACCTTAGGATCCAAGAATGCATGTAAAGGCTAAACACAGTAGTGCCTGAGTTTGCAGTTGCAGAATTCCTCTGGGGATAATGGGAGGTGGTGCAGACAGGAAACCTCTGGAAGCTCATAGGTTGGTCATCCTGGCGAACACAGTAGGAAACCATAGACATCTTTTCTTAGATGAGAACTAACTCCCAAGGTTGTCCTCTGCCGTCTATGCATGTACTGTGGCATGCATGTGCTTATACTCATACATGAAAACATACACACACACAGAGACAGAGTCAGAGAGAGATAGAGATGGATGGACTGATGGATGGGTAGACGGATAGATGGATGGATGGATGGATAGATGGATGGATGGATGAATGAGACAGAATTTTTAAGGCCTAAATGCAGTTACAACATAGCATTTAGCATAAAATGGCAGTTCAGCAAATATCACCTGACACTGGGCTGGAGAGATGGCTCAGCAGGTAAGAACACTGACAGTTCTTCCAAAGGACCTGGGTTCAAATCCCAGCACCCACATGGTAGCTGACAACTGTTTGTAACTCCAGTTCCAGGGGACCTGACACCCATGGCAAAATTCCAATGCACATAAAATAAAAATAAATATATTTTTAAAATCACCTTCCAGAACACCCACTTCCTCCAGCTCTGAGGGCTGACTGACCCCTGGTGCAGGCCCTAGCAGACTCAGACCCTCCCCCTCATCCACACTACCACAAAGGCTGCGCTCTGCCATCTTCCATCTCAGCCTCTCTGTTGGCATTCTTCCCCCTCACCCTTCATCATGCATCTTCCCACATTCCTTCCCCATTTGGGTCCCAGTCTTCTGGAGTTACCATGGTGGCTCCCTGGAAAGAACCTGCCAAGATGGAAGTCTATGTTAGCATCTATCTGAAGGAGAACCAAGGATGAGGAGCAGCAGGGTCCCTGTCTAGATGGGCCAGCAGATAGAGAAACGTGTTGGAGATATGTTCTACTTTTTCTGGGTGCCTGTATATGATTATGTGGGCATCTGTCTTAGTTAAGGTTCATTGCTATGATAAAACACAATAACCAAAAGCAACTTGAAGAGGAAGGATTTATTTCACCTGAAAAATCGTCAGGTTACAATTCATCCTCGAGGGAAGTCCAGACAGAAACTCAAGGCAGGAACCTGGAGGCAGGAACTGAAGCAGACACCATGGAGGAACACTGATCACTGGTTTGCTCGCCATGACTCTTTCAGTCTGCTTTCGTACACAACCCAGGACCACTTTCCCAAGCATGGCACCGCCCACAGTGGGCAGGACCCTCCCACATCAATCATCAGACAAGAAAATGCCCTACAAACTTGCCTCCAGGCTGATCCTAAGGTGGCATTTTCTTAATTAAGATTCCTTCTTCCCAGATGTTCCTAGCTTGTGTGAAGTTGACACAAAAACTAGCCAGCACAGAATCTAAGTTCCTTGACTCGCCATCTCTCCATGAATGAGTTGACTGCTTGGTATGCCTCCCACCACCGTGCCCTTTATCAACTTTTATCTATACCAGCACGTCTTACTTTGTGAAGTCCTAAGGTTTTGGAATGAGATCTTTGAGAGGAGATGAACTGCCCAGAGAGGAGGTGCCCTGACCTCCCCAGCAGTGAAGACATTCATGGGTAAGTCCAACAAGCACTTGGGATCATGGAAGAGGTTTCTATGTTGTATGTGAAGTGGAACTATATGACCACAGTAGTTCCTTGAATCCCAACTAATCTGAATCTAGACTTGAAGTTCCTGGCAGACCAGGTCTGTGACTAGAGGTCGGTGGGTGTAGGTCATCTGAAGATGAGCAGCACATCCTTGTCCCTAACTTGAAAAAAGAACCTGCCAAACGAGGCCCATCTTGCTGTGTCTGCTAGTGTGGCCTATTTTCTAGCTACAAATAGCCAGCATTACCTGTTTTAAACATCTGGCATGACCTGCCTGTTTAGTCACCTTCTCTCTGGCTTCAAACAGCTGTGGGGCCCCACCTCCTCTCCACCTCCCATCCATCTGTGATCCATTCCCTCCCCCTTTCCTTCCTGGAAGGATCTAGATACACCAGATCCACAAGTCCCGGTGTCTTTAAAAGGATCTGCCTGGGGAATAAGGCTCATCTGAGTACTGTGACATTCACCTTGATTGTAGTGGGAAGTCCAGCGGCCAGTCTGCTGCCACTGACATTATGAAGGCCTGTGTCTCCCTGATAGTGGCCATGCTCTGTGGCCTGGCATGGGCTGGTAAGTCATTCTCTGTGGGGTGTGGGGGAGAAGGGGTTGCTTACAGAACAGAGAACTGGGGTGCTTGACAGAGGTTAAACACTGTCCTAACCCAGTGGACCACTTGGGCCCGCCCTTGGTTGACGTTGCAGGATCTGTGTCTCTGGAAGCTGGCTGATGATGTGGAGGAATTACAGAGCTGAAGCCTTGGGGGTCAGCTCTAGCATCACTAGAATAACCAGACTCCACACTCGGTTAAGGTTTTATTTCCCTGGGGCCACAGCATGGTGTAAATGGGAAGGAGGTCGCTGAGTTGGGATTCCCTGGTTGCCCTTGGTCACTCTCTCCTCTGCGGCTTGGTGATAGGCGGGCATTTGGAGGCAGGTGGGCTTAGGAGGAAACCAAAGTCCCTGACATAGAGGTGAACCCTGTCCCGTTTGGGACTGGTTAGACACATGGGTTTTGTCCCAGGTTAGGGGAGCTACCTAGAAGAGAGAAGGGATGTGCCCCACGCTTGCAGGTAGTGCAGGAAAGGAGGCAGATGCTGGAAAAGGAAAGGAACACTTTCCTGTTGGGTAACTGTGTGCAAAGAGCTGCTGTGGCTGTGTTAATTAGTGATTAGTGGGTGGTAGGGAGGAGGGCCAAGGGAGGGGGCTGAGCTGAGGGTGTGGGCAGCATCCTCCTCTGTCCCAGGAGAGTCAGAGTTTCTGCATTTCCACCCTCCCAGGGTGTTCCTGCCTGGGACTGTTGAAAGGATCAGATAAGTTAGTTAGAGGAGAAGGACCAAGCTCAGCTCATTGGAACTTATCAAGGTTTTGGCATGAATATTTCTAGGAGGAGCTGAGTTTTGGTGTCATTCCCCATCAGGGTGTGTACAGGGAGCCCCTATGTGTGATTCCTAAACAGAAAAGCTATGGAGGGAAAAAACTGTTCCCATGTTTCTCCACACTGCTTTGCTCTTCTTTGAGGACTCTGCTCTGCCTGGGTCCTGGGTCTAGAAAGGAAGAGGAGGAGAGGGAAGGGTAGGTAGGCATGGGACCTTACCTCAGGTCTGCTCACTGGAGGGATGAAGGAGGACATGTGGGACTACCCAGTGTAGAAGGATGGTCAGAGGGCTTGGGATATGTCAGTCCTAGGAGTTGATTGCACAGGAGACATCTGGTCCTTGGAGGAGGTCCCTGAGGGCATGGCTGTAGTGGTTTCAGAGGTATAGGCAGACCTGGTCTACTAGGGGTTAAAGCATTAGTTAACCTCTGCTGTAGACTGATAGGCAGTAAGGGTAGAGTAGAGATACACCAGAAGACAGGGCCTAGTCTCTGCTCCTGTGCTGTTTTTAACCAAATCTCAATCATTCGATTTTATCAGTAAAGACTGTGGAGCCAGTTTGGTGTGAGGAGTCTTGTTTGAGACAGTATAGGGAAAAAGAGGAGGCTTCTGGGATAGCAATGGAGAAGGAAGGTCAGCTGGGTACTTTCTCTGCCTCTCTGAGCTAGCAGGTTTTCACCCCAGCATCTGGCTCCTGAGTCTTTATTGGTAAAATGGAACAACTGAGATTTTGTTAAAAACACCCCTTTTAGTTATATCCTAAGTATGATATCCAAGTATGAGCCATACCAGGAGCACAGGCCATTGCTTTCCAAGGCCTTGGCTGTTTCAAGGGAACAGAGGCAGGAAGCTGGTTTTGGAGATGAAGGTTTTTGGTTCACTAGGTTTCCATGGAAATAATATCTGGGTTTCCCTGAGAGACAAATGTGTAAGGATACTTCTGTTGACAGGGTCTGAAGGCTGACATATAGGGATCCTGTGTCCATCCAGGCTTGGTGCCAACCTTTCTTGATGATCAGTGGGGAAAGAGTATGAAGGTCGCAGCATGCTAACTAAGTTCTGAGAAGACGCAGAGAAAACTAGCTTTTCACAGGGGAAGGAATCAGAGGTCCGAAGGAGGAGTGGTGGGAAGATCTGAGGCTGAGAGGAAAGGCAAAATGAAGAAAAGCAGAGGAAAGGGAGAGATGGGCAGAGGGGGTGAGGGGCAGAGGTTGCTGGAGTAGTGACTCGGGCCCTAGCTTGGTGAGCGAGGCTTACACAAAGGCTTTGTGTCAAAGGGAGGTACTGGGTGGGGATCTGGAGTCAGAATGAAGAGTCATCTAGTGTCCCCAGGACAGCACAGTGAGGTTCCTGTAGGGAAAATTCCCATCGGCGCCTGCCACCCCCCACCCCCCACCCCCGTATCCCAAAGTTACCTTGAAGCAAAACAAACTGACAGGGGAATTTGCGACCTGTTGGCATCAGGTTCTTACTGGGGACAAAGCTCTGAGGCAGAGATGACAAATCCACACAGCATGGGCCCGTGGGAGTGCTCTACTGAACTCCACAGCTAGTTATTCACTGTCTGTCCTTCTCAACCCCTGCCAGCCCTAGAACAGAGGGAATTCCATCCTTGGACTCTGCCTTGGTGTCCCATTAAGAGCAGGCCTCCACTTGCTTACCCTCTCCCCCTCTGGATTCTGGGTGTTCTGCCAGGATGGTGGGGCAAACAGCTGACCCAGCCTTCCTCCTGCCCTGAACACTTTTTCTTAAGACCTTAGCATTTAGGTGCCAAGTGAGATGACTTAAAATTCATGAAGGGTTCCCTGTGTGCTTGGATGGAGAAGTGGCCTTGGGCTTGGCCTCCTTTAGGACAATCTCCTGGACCAATGCCCTGTCTTCTTGGATGTGTCGGAGGCCCCGCACACAATATGCAATGGCCTCAGGACCTGGTTTAACCTTGACCTGACACCTCTCTGATGCAGATAGACTCATAATGATGGTGACATCAGCTGGTAAACCACCCCATCATGTACACCTGCTAACAACCCAGCTCACAGCATGGCCCAGCTGAACTGGGGTAGGGAGTCAGGCAATGAAGTTTGTGGGCAGGTTCCCTAACCGGGATGATTGGCGAAGCCAGTCTGGACAGTGCGGACATGGAATGTGGCCATTGTTTATTTATATAACAAAGACTGAAATGCCTCTGTTCTGTGTCACACACCACAGGATGTGCTTTGCCAAGGTTAACTCATTGACTTCTTATGCATATTCTATGAGATAGACTCTAATTTTTTCCCTATTTTTACAGATAAGGGAACAGAGGCATAGTAAGCGAAATAACTTGTCTAAGATCACACAGCTGGGAAACATCATAGCTAGGATTCCACCTCGGGCAGCTGGGTACCAGAGTTCAGCTTCACTCTGCTATGTACCCCCCACCTTAAGCACGACATAATCCCAACCCCATGTCAACCTGAGAGAAAACTCAGATTATATCTCCTTTTCTAGAGCTGGTACATGCTTGGCCCTAAATAAGTTTAATCTCACTGCATTCCTTACCCAATAGCAATACAAAATTTTTACTTTATCCATCGACTTAGTGCAAGCTCCTCACCATATCTAAATTCAAGGCCAGTGTCAGCCCTGGTCTAAATTAGGTTTATATTTCCTCATTTGCCCAATCCAGATGCTCATGGCAGTTCTGACACCTGTGGTTGTTTTTTTGTGTGTCAGTTTGGTTTGGTTTGGTTGTTTGTTTTTTCAAGACAGGGTTTCTTCATACAGCCCTAACTGTCCTGGAATTCACTCTGTAGACCAGGCTGGTCTCCAACTCAGAGATCTATCTATTTGCCTGCCTCTTCCTCCTGAGTGCTAGGAATAAAGGCATATGCCACCGATGCCTGGCTTCTTCTGGCTGTTTTGTTTTTGCTTCCTTTGAGGCAAATTAGATACAGCCCAGACTGACTTTGAACTTGCTTTGTTACCAAGGCTGGTCTTGAACACCCAGTCCTCCTGCTCCTGTCTCACAAGTTTTGGCATTACAAATGTGCCTGGCTTCTGCATCTGACTGACTCCTGTGCAATCTGCAGCCTGACCCCTAAACCCAGTGTTCTTAACATCCAGGCCTCAGGTATTAAGAACCCCTAAGTCGGGGCTGGAGAGATGGCTCAGAGGTTAAGAGCACTAGCTGCTCCTCCAGAGGTTCTGAGTTCAATTCCCAGCAACCACATGGTGGCTCACAACCATCTGTAATGAGATCCGGTGCCTTCTTCTGGTTATAAGCATACATGTAGGCAAAATACTGCATACATAATAAATAAATAAATCTTTAAAAAAAGAACCTAAGTCAAGAATGGAAAGACCCCTCTCCCCACCTTCTACCCAGCACTCTCTTTGCTGTTGTGGGCCTGGTAGGGCCTGCTTTCTCTTTTAGAGTGGCAGTGTGTTGGTATTATTCTTTGCAAAAGTTCTGGCCGTTGCCAGGGATAGTGGCACTCCTTTAATTCCAGCACTTTGGAGGCAGAGGCAGGCAGATCTCTGACTTTCATGTCAGTCTGGTCTACAGAGCGAGTTCCAGGACAGCCAGGGCTACACAGAGAAACCCTGACTTGAAAAAACAAAACCAAGCCAAACCAGAACAAAACAAAAAAACAAAAGCTCTGGTCATATCCCCTTGTGACCAAAAGCTTGCTTCTGTAAATGGTTTGTCTGGAGCAAGGGATGTGGTCTGTGGTTGCATAACAGAATACTGTCCCAAAGCCCAGTTCTCACCCACATGGACCTTATTCCCCACCCAAGCACAGAATGCATTCCAGAGGCTGGAAGGAGCAAAGATGTGGCGTGGGGAGATAGGATGCGGAAGGCCGGGGGAAGGAGGGAGGACAAAGAACAGAAAGGGTGCAGGAGTAGAGTGAGGGGTGGCTTAGAGGGGTGCCAGGAGGCGCCACTCAGCAGCAGCGGCTCTCCTTCATCTGTAGGACACACCAACGGACCTTGTACTGGCCACTGACTTCTTTCTCCAGCCCGCTGGAAGCTTCAAACTTGAGAGATTTTCACCCCCAAATGAAAGTTTCTTTTGGAAGTCTAGAAGCTCTGGTTCCATCTCCTGTGGCTGGGAAGGTGCTGTGGACAGCAGTCAGGCTATCCCTGCTGAGTCTGTGACGGTCTTCTTCTCACACATGGCTTCTTGGCTTGTTTCTGTCACTGGTCCCTCCAACAGGCACTTGAGCCTGAGCCTAGGTCATGCGAGGCAGGCTAAGAGTGGGAAGGGCCCATTCTGAGCTAGGAGACTGTAAGCATGTAAATCCTGTAGGCAGCAATGGCCTTCCCTGTCCCTCCCTGAGGCCTCCTGCAGGGGCAATTTAGGAAAAGCGTCAGGTCCCCCAAGCACTGAGCTGGTGGTCTTGACTGTCTGTCACAGGAAACCCGGAGTCGTGTGTGTCTCGCTGTGATGAGGAATTTAACCGGGATGCAGTCTGCCAGTGTGATCGTCAGTGTCCCCAGCATGACGACTGCTGTGATGACTATGGACATCTGTGCACTGGTGAGAGGCCATGTAGATGAAGGGCTGGGACACACAGCAGGTCAGGCTGTGTGCAAGTCTGAACTGGTGTCCAGAAGTCCAGAGGAAGGCTGGAGACTGAGCAGAGGGTGCCGGGACTCGGGAAGAGAGTGTGGGAGGCAGAGGCAAGCGTCAGGTCATCATAGTCTCAGGTTTTCTAGGAAGTTCCTAAGTTAAAGTAGGGCAGATGCTATTGATCTGGAAGAACTCAGCAAACAATCAGGATTAGTAATATCTTAAGGAGGGCTAGAGAGATGGCTCAGAGGTTAAGAGCACTGACTGCTCTTCCAGAGGTCCTGAGTTCAAGTCCCAGCAACCACATGGTGGCTCACAACCATCCATAATGAGATCTGGCGCCTTGCTCTTGCATGCAGGCATACATGGAGGCAGAACACTGTATATATAATAAATAAACACATTATCTTGAAAGTTTAAGTAACAAAGTGGTACTTTAGTATACATGATATCACTTTGTATATGATATCACTGCTCACTGTTAATCACTCTCAAAGCACACACACAAATAGCAGGCCACACTCACAATCTGAATGACATGCGGAGACTGTATGGCCTCTCTGACTGTCATAGCAATCATAGCACAGACCATGCCTCTCCAGGGAGTTAACTGAGCAGACACTGCTTTAAACGATCCTTCACAAGCAGGGTTTGGTGGCGCACTCCTTTAATCCCAGCACTGTGGAGGCAGAGGCAGGCGAATCTCTGTGAGTTGGAGGCCAGCCTGGTCTACAGAGTGAGTTCCAAGACAGTTAGGGCTTCATAGTAAGAACCTGTCTCAAAATAACAACAAACTGAAACAAAATAAACAAACAACAAACAAAAACAAAACAAAACAAGGCCTTCCCCAAATGACCATTTGCTTCTCTGCAGGCACAGATTTAATGCATTTTCCCCTGCTGTACTAGGGGTTGCACCAAGGTCTCAGATATATGAGGCAGGTACTCACCCACTGAGCTGTGTTCTCAGTTCATTTTCTGTGGTTTATTTTGAGACAGGATGTAACTAAGTTTCCAAGGTCAGCTTTGAACTCACTATATAGTGCAAGTTGGTCTTGAACTTGTGATCCTCCTACTTCAGCCTGTCAAGTAGCTTGAATTGCAGACTCTGATGCCCAGGTCCAGCTAAGTGAATACTTCATGAGAAATCATTTTTTAATATTTATTTTTATTTATTTGTGTGTATGTGTGTGTGGGCATGTGTGTGTGTTTGTGTATGTGTATGAGTGTTGTATGCTTGTGTATGTGTGTGTGTGCTTGTGTGTGTGTGTGTGTGTGTGTGTGTGTGTGTGTGTGTGTGTGTGTAGTTAAGGAGGCCAGAAGAAGGTGTTGGCTCCTCTGGAACTGGAGATATGCAGTTGCAAGCCACCCGATGCTTGTGCTGGGAACCCAACTTCCCCTGGAAGTGCAACGGCTCTTAACTGTTGAGCCATCTCTCCAGACCTTGAAAAATCATTTGTTAATAGACTCCCTGTTTAGTTCATTGTTTTCCATCTAAGAAGAATTAGGAAAGGCTAATACTGAGCCAGCACCATAAATTAATGTGGACTTATTAAATTAAATTAAAATGTGGACTTATTAAGTTAAATTAAATTAATGTGGACTTATTAAATTAAAAAGTGAGAAAGACTCTAGAAAGTGGGAGAGGTTCCAAGGATCAAGGATACTACCATGTTGCCTTGTTGCCCTATTGGTGTCCTTTTATGAGATTTGGGATGGAAACTAGCTTGGAACTTTGATCATTTTTATTAAGACTGGTAGCTCTGAGCACATGCAAAAACCTTATGCACGGTTCTTTGACCCAACAGAAAAAGTAACCATGTTAATGGTCCAATCAAGGGAGTGGTACATGTCACGATCCACAATGGGCCCTGCCCTTCCTTCCCTCCAGGAGCTAAAGCCTGTCTCAAGGGTGGTGCATTTCCCATGGGTCCCTTCTGCCCACTGATTCCTCGGTTCGCCTGTCTTCCTGCTGTCACTGCTGCAGCTTGCTTTCCTTTCCAGCCCAGTTGCTGCCGCCGCCTTTTAATTCGGGTCCAGCTCAGCCCACTCTCCTAGAATTGGAGAAGAAAATGCTCAGGAGAGATGTTTTATTGGGTTTAATGTCACAACACCATGACTTGTGGGTGTCTCCCTGAAGCTCATGAAACTTGGTGTTATAGCTAGAGCAAAAGAGGTGTTGGCTCCAGTCACAGCAAACCTCCCGTGCAGCTAAGGCCTGGCATTTACCCTAGGCATGGCAGCGTCCCTTTGAGGGCCTTACACTCATCCCTTCCTCTGCTTGGGACTCCTTCATGCCTGAGAGACTTTTGTGTGACGCTGGGCACATAGTTATACAAAACAGATATACATACCAAACATTTACTGGGACAGCCATGTAAGGTGGTGCATGCTGTGACCCCTAGCATTTGGGAAGTAAAAACAGGAGGCCTGGGAGTTCAAGGCCATCCTCGGCTACATAGTGAGTTCAGAGGCTACCTGAGGGCCTGTCGCATACAACATTAAAACAAAGGACACTGCAGTTCATAACCTACTGCCATCCTGCACCAGAGCAGATCTGTTCTAGCAGTGCTTATTGACCTGGAGTGGTCTGATGACAAGTGCGATGCATGTTGTATGTTCAGCACCACAGATGCAGAGAGGTCACATGACACATGACTGAACCCTGCCAGAAACACCTCAGATTCATTACATGTTTGATTTTGAGGTTTAATTTTCAGCCGTGGACAGTTCAGAAACATCTTACTGTTGGCAAATCCTTCATGACCCCCTATGAGGCTGTGACCCACAATTAAGCTAGGTTAGGCCAGCAGGGGAAGATGCTTCTTGGCCTCTGGCTTGGGTGGAAACTGTGGTGGAGTCAGCTAGAGTTCACGGACGCTTGTGATTGCACAGAGTGTGGTGGAAACTCTTTGAAATGTTCACGCCAAGGACGGTGGTTTCAGGATCTGGAGTAAGCAGCTGCCATCATCAAGTGGCTTCCTCCCTGGCACAGGGCTAGAATGCCTAGCTGTTTCAGGCACCATCCTTTAACTTGAGCATCTAAGGCAGCAAGAGAGCTGCCAGTTAGGGAGTCAAACTGCCCATCCCCCGCTGGCTTACAGGAAAACACCCGAAGGAGTGCTTACTTACAGTAAGAACTAGAAGAACGTATCCTTACCATTAACAGTGATTGCGAACAGATTTTAACAGTGCTCCAACAATACTTAACACCTGCCCAGCCCACCCCCAGGGAGAGGTGCCCCCTCCCCGCCCCCAACTCTCTTAATAGGAACAGGATGTTCTGAACTGAGAGCCTTGTCATTTGGAGAATGCTAAAATGCTCTATTCATATGTGGTAACTCAGATTGGTTTTCAGTCCTGAAGGGGCTCGCCCCGCTTCTTCCTCCACTTTTTATGGACTTGTCTTTTTAGTCCTCTTGAGCACAGTGGGCCCCAAATGCCAAGATGGGAGGACATTTGTCATCTGGGGGGAAATAATTTTGTTTTCCCTAAACTTTCAGTAATCTGACCCTGGAAATACCTTCCATTTCCAGTCCTTCGGTGTCAGGGGTTTGTCCGTGTACCCTTTCCATTATCATGCTTGCCTCGAGGCTGGGAACCCAGAACCTCAAGCAAAGCTAGAGGGAGATCGCTGCATGGTTGGTGACTTTATTTTCCTACCTTACAGCTGAAGAAGGGCCCCCAGAGCCAAAGGCATTCCTCCATCCAGAGGATGAGATTCCAGTCAACCGTAAGCCCGAACCCCACATAGGACAGCAGGGGTGACAAGGGGAGAGGGAGCCACAACAGAGGCAAGGACCCAGACCTAAGCCTGAAGAATCCGGCTTGATTTGCCCAGGGGAAACACTGGTGTGATCCAAGCAGCCAAGGGGGAGGGAAGCCAGGAAAATGTCTGAGCCCTGGGGAGGGAAGTGGAAGAGGTTGTATTTTTAGAGTGGGAAAATTATAAAAACAGGCCAGAGAGTAAGTAGAGCCCTGCATCAGAAAGCAGAGGGCTTCCTGACTGTAGAGTGTGCAAGGGATTAAGTTTGCCCCATCCCAGGAGACCTTCAGCAAGGAGCCCAGCTGTGGGTGTGGGTAGAAGGGCTGGTCCTTAGGCTCTCAGAACACCCTCTAGAGGTTGCCAGGGACACACGCACGCATGCACGCGCGCGCACACGCACGCACACACACACACACACACACACACACACACACACACACACACACTTTTCTCTGTCCTCTTAGACCTGTACTCTGCACCAAACTCCTGCCAGGGCCGCTGCCGGGAAGCCTACGACAAGCACCACCCTTGCCACTGTAATGACCGATGCCAAAAGTTTGGGGACTGCTGTGAAGATTTTGACAGCCTGTGTGGTGACCATGGTCAGTCTGCTCCCTGCATCAGCATAGCCCCAGACACATGGTAACTCTCTAGAGTTCTCCCCACGTGGTCCATGGACCAGCAACATCAGGAGCATCTGATAATCCTTAGCAGAGGCGACTGGCCCTAGGCTGTGCCCCAGACCTACTGCTCAGACTCTGGACTGGGGTCACCGCTCTGATTAAACCTTCCGGGGGATTCTGATGCCTGCCTCAGTTTGGGACCTTTCTTAGTGCAAAAGGGCGATGTGGGCTTTCTGTGCATCCCATGGCAATGACACATGCTGAGGGTCTTGTAGTGTCCTGCCCTCTGACTGCACAGTATTGGGTGGTGGTCCCCCTCACTGGAGCAAGCTTCCAGAAAGCCCAGAGGGGGATGCTATCCATCTTCATTAGCTGGCACACTGCCACCTTCTAGCTCTCAGACCATCCCTCTCCCAATTCCTCTTAGAGGGCTTCTCCCACAGCAGCGATGCTATAACCAATGAGGAACTTCAGGGTATTTCTGAGACGATCTACAAGGTAGATACCAACAAAGCCCGCAAGGAAGACATTGTCCTCAACAGTCAAAATCGTGTCTCCCCCTCAGAGACAGGAAGCCAAGTGGATCGCTGCCCAGAGCCGTGAGTGCCCCTCATTCCTCCCAACCCTTCACCCTATCTCTCCACTACCCTCACTTCTTTGATGCCTCAGATTTTGCTCCTCAAGTCAAGCAAGCTCAAAGGGAGAGGGAAAAATTAATGTCCAGAAACAAAGAAATCACCTTGAGGGTAGATGTGTGTCTAGCCAGGAAGTTTCTGTTGCTGGCTAGGCTAAGGGTAATGCTAATCTTCAAGAGTTGAGGCAGAAGCAGACAGACCTCAGAGTTGGCTTTCAAAAGCACCGCAAGCTCCCTTTGATCCTGAACCCAGAGCCCATCTCTGTGTGGTGCCCCTGGCCTGTCTGGAAGGTTCTGGGGGAGTTTCTACTGCATGTCCAGCCCTCCTAATGGGTCTCCATCCACTCGCTGCAGGCTCTTCACTTATGTCAACGAGCAGCTGTTCTCCAAGCCAACCTACGCAGCTTTCATCAACCTGCTCAATAACTACCAGCGGGCCACGGGCCACGGGGAGCACTTCAGCACTCAACAGCTGGAGGAGCAGGCTGTCTTCCTCAGGGAGGTCATGAAGACAGCTGTCATGAAGGAGCTCTATGGCTTTCTCCATCATCAAAGTGAGTGAGTCTTCCCTGATGCACAAAGCTGTGTGATGAGGTGTGTGTTCAGGAGAGACTGACACTGCTGAGGTCTCTGGTGGTGGTGGCAGTGGTGGTGGCGGCAGTGGCGGTGATAGTTGTGGTGTGAGAGCAGGGGCACTGCATGAAGTCCAGTGACAGCCAAAGGGGTCAAAGACAAGGCTAGAAGGAAGCTACAGAGACTGGGGACCCTAGCAGGAACTGAATGACTGGCTGGCTTAGATCATCCATCTTTTGACTGTCAGTTATCTTCTGAGTTTACTACCTTCTGAAGGGAATGAGCCCCACACCCCATCTCTACTCCCACTTCGGGCACTTTTAGTTCCTTCACAGATCCCAGAGTCAGCACAGATGGCAACAGAGAGTCAGTCAGCACAGGCTTGTGGAGCATCATTCTGTTAGGAAGTGGTCTGGCTGGACCAACTCCAGACACAGATACATGCAAATCAGACCAAAAAAGGTTTTGGCTTCAGGACTTCTTGGCTCTGGGTTCTGTTTGTTAGTGTCCTCCAGATTCCTTTCCTGAACTCTGGCAAGCTGGACTTGGTTTCAGGGGCAGATCTGTATAGGTCTCCCTTTCTGTCCCTGGGGACCACATCCAGGCGGACCTGCTACTTTTGGCCTGCAACCTTAGACAACCACAAAGTTACTAACTCTGTTAAGCGGTTGAAACATGGGAGGGAGTGTCTGAGATTCATGCAATCCTGTGATGCCCTCTGGTGTCTGCTTTGTAGTAAACACACAAGAGACAGGCTTGTCAGTAGTTCTCAGCCTTCCTGCTACTTTATAACTGTAACTTTGCTACAACTATGAATCACAATGTAAACATTTTTGGAGATAGAGGTTTGTCAAAGATACACGACCCACAGGATGAGAACTAGTGGACTAAACCCTTAGTTTGTTTCAGCAAGAGAACCAGAGGTCTAGGCAGGCTGGAAGACCTAAGTGAGCAAGGAGCCAGAAACAGCCATCCAGTACCCAGAGCAGGCTTCCCAGCATGCCCCTCCTTCACCCCAGATCCCACTAGCCTGCTCCATTTACCAAGACCCCAATGGCTTATGCCACATCTCTTCAGACTTTGAGAGATCAGAATACAGCCCAAAATAGCTCAGACAGACAGACTTGGTTTGACCCCTGGTTCTGTTACCACTGGTGTGATTTCGATAGTTTAAGGGGTCTCCCAGATTTCACATATTAAAAAAGTAATCCCTAGCACCGTGTGTTAATGATACCTAGAGGTGAGAACTTTGAGAGGTGATGCCTCCTTAGTATGCTTGTTTTGCCCTTCTCACATGCTAGTAGCTAAACTTCTATCCAGTATAAATCACATGGTCGCAGGGATCTGGTTTTAGCAACACAAGGCAGGCTAAGCAACTGAGCTGTGCCTTTGTGACCTCTCCTGGTCTTATCTGTGACTTAAGGTCTTTGAAGATTGATGCTTGCAAAGCATCAAAAGGGGACACCCAAGCAAGTACTAATAAGGGTAACTATTTGGTCTATGAAACCCTTCTGTTCATGTCCACTTGGACTTGTTTTCCAACACTGTTTTAAGTCCTTGAAAGGAGAGAATATTCCTGGTATCTGTTTTGGATCCTCCACACAATTCTAGAAGTCCCTGATTTAAAACTTCAGCTCTGACCTTTCCCTTGGGGCCCAGTGGCCTTTTCAACAGCTCTACTCCGCTATCTGTTATTTACATAACACAGTGTAAGGAGAACTCACTGTTCCTCCTGTTTCCCTACCTGCACCTCTCTAGGTTGTCTCATCTCCTAATTATCACCACAATTCGTCCAGTTCTCATGCAAAAAGCCGAGGAGTTAGGGTGTGTGTGTGTGTGTTTCTCTCTGTGTGTGTCTTGTGTGTCTGTGTGTATTTGTGTTTGTGTGTGTGTGTCTGTGTGTGTATGTGTCTTTGTGTGTGTGTCTGCGTGTCTCTGTGTATGTGTGCTTTTGTATATCTGTGTGTATATGTGTGTCTGTGTGTATGTGTCTTTGTGTGTGTGTGTGTGTATGTGTTTGTGTGTGTGTGTGTGTGTGTGTGTGTATGTGTGTGTATCTGGAGATTAGACATAGCTTAGCTTCTGTATGCTGGGCAGTTATTTTACCACTGAACTTGCAGCCCCAGCCCAGGAGGTAAATTTGATTTTTCTCTTTACCCCACTGCCCCCACCCCCATTTTCCCATCAGTAATGTCCATCACTTCCACTCTCAAAACATATTCCAGATCTGCTTGTTTCTTCTCCTTCTTCTCTGATGCTACTAGTGAAAGCTCCCAGAAACTTACCATAGACAAACCATTAGCTTTAAAACTGGTCTCTCTGCTTTTGTCTTTATGACTGCCATTAAGCCTTTCACATACAAAGTTCATGTCACATAATTGTCCCGCACCCCCCAAACCTCTTCATGTCCATTGTCTTAGTTAGGTTTCTATTGCTGTGATAGAACACCATAACCAAAAACAACTTGGGAAGGAAAGGGTTTGTTTCATCTTACACTTCAAGTAACAGCTCATCCCTGAATGACATCAGGGCAGGAACCTGAAGGCAGGATTTGGCTAAAAAAAAAAGCCATGGAGGACCACGGCTTACTGGCTTGCTCTGTATGCTTTTTTAATATACCCCAGGCCAGCTGCCCAGAGGTGGCACTGTCCACAGTGGGTGAGGCCTTTCCACATCAATTAAGAAAATGCAGCCAGGTGGTGGCACACACCTTTAATCCCAGCACTCTGTGAGTTCGAGGCCGGGCTGGTCTATAAAGTGAGTTCTAGGACAACCAAGGCTACCTAGAGAAACCCTGTCTCAAAAAACAAACAAATAGAAAATGCCCTCACAGTCTTGCCTGCATGCCAATCTGACAGAGGTATTTTCTCAGTTGAAGTCCGTCTTCTCAACTGACTCTATAACTTGTGTGAAGTTGATTAAAAAAAAAAAGGCCATTGTCTACCACAAAGAGACTATCAAGCTGTAACAGATCCATCTTTAGAGCTACACTGCATAGACCCAAGTGCAGTGACTGACTAACAGTGTGTGTCCTCTTGCATGAGTTTTGTAACTTCTGTCTGACTCGGTTTTCTCGTCTTTGAGTTCAGGTTGATGAGGAACATTAGCTGTGTGAAGAGTGAGTGTTACCACACAGAAGCATCTAAGACAGTACCGAGAACACATCTAGTGCTCCACAGAGCCTGGGTCTTCAGTATCAATACTAATCGGAGTGCGTCTGACCTCATTGCAATGGCTGGAAGGCTCTCAGTGTTGCCTCTTCTCAGATTTTCTCCCTCCTGCCCACCTTGCTTTGTAAATGTCTCCTCAGATCCTTTTGTAGAAAAGTCCTTATCCAGCCGGGCTTTGGTGGCTCACACCTTTAATCCCAGCACTCAGGAGTCAGAGGCCGGAAGATCTCTCTGAGTTCAAGGCCAGCCTGGTCTACTGAGCGAGTTTCAGGACAGCCTCCAAAGCTACAGAGAAACTCTGTCTTGAAAAACAAAAACAAACAAACAAACAAAAACAAAAAACAAAAAAAGAAAGAAAAAGAAAAGTCCTTATCCTTCGGGTGTCTGGCCACTGCTCCCCACCCCAAGTTTTTTGCTCATGATCCTTCTGCCTCTACTTCCTAAGTACTAGGATTACAGGTGTGTGTTATCACCTCTGTCTGGTGCCACCTTCTCCCGAAGAGGCCTTTCTGACCTTCTTTGCTAGGTCCCATGTCTTAGGGTGCATTGTGTTGACATAGCAGAATATCAGCCCAGGAAATGTATAATGAATAGAAATATATTGGTTCATAGTTCTAGAAACTGTGGGACGGCATCGCATGAGGGCCTTTGTGCTGTGACACCCGTGCAGGAATGCAGAGAGTGACCGAGTAAGAAAGGCAAAAGAGCTGAATTTCTTTTTGTTGTTGCTTTTTTTGAGACAGGGTCTCGTGCAACCCATGCTAGCCCTGAACTCGTTTTATACTGAGGGTGATCTGCAACTTCCAGGCTTTTATTATCATGCCCAGCTCTAAACTCATTTTTTTTAACTTTAAAATGTAAGGAAATAGTCCACTCAATGAGGACCCCCACAGAATGGCATTAATTCACTCATTAGATAGAGCCTCATAGCCCAATCACTTACTCACTATGTAGACCAGGCTACTCTCAAACTCAGAGCTCTGCCTGCCTCTGCCTCCTGAGTGCTGGGATTAAAGGTGAGTGCCTGAGTCCCTAATTGCCTGTGGAAGTCCACCTTAATTTCATTATAGGAGGTATCAGGTTTCTAATGGGCTTTTGGGAGGCACATTCAAGGCAAAGTACTTCTGCCATGTGTGGGGGCGCTCACCTTTAATGCCAGCACTTGGGAGGCAGATGTGGGCAGAGCTCTGTGAGTTCAAGGCCAGTCTGGTTTATATATCACATTCTGGAACAGCTAAGGCTACTTAGTCTAAAAACAGAGATGCCAATCGGGTGTTGGTGGCACATGCCTTTAATCCCAGCACTGGGGAGGCAGAGGCAGGCAGATCTTTGTGAGTTCGAAACCAGCCTAGTCTACCAAGCAAGCTCCAGGACAGGCTCCAAAACAATACAGAGAAACCCTGTCTCAAAAAACAAAAACAAAAACCAACAATGCCTCAAATCCCAAAACACACAGTACTCCTGACTTCCACTTCCTCCTCTAGCTGTTATAGTCTTTGTACTTATCTGAGATATTATTTATTGATTTATTATTCGTGCCTTTCTCTGAAATGCCAACTTTAGAGACAAACTCTGTCCTTGGTGTGTGTGTGTGTAAATGTATATGTGTGTGAGTGTGTGTGAATGTATGTGTATGTGTGTGTAAATGTATGTGTGTATGTGTGTGAGTGTGTAGTATGTGTGTGAATGTGTATGTATGTATGTGTGTATGTAAATGTATGTGTGTGAGTGTGTGTGAATGTGTGTAAATGTATGTGTGTATGTGTGTGAGTGTGTATATTATGTGTGTGAATGTGTGTGTATGTATGTGTGTATGTAAATGTATATGTGTGTGAGTGTGTGTGTATGTGTGTGAATGTGTGTGTATGTATGTGTGTGTGAATGTGTGTGTATGTGTATGTGTGTGTGGGAATGTGTGTGTATGTGTGTGTATGTGTGTGAATGTGTGTGTATGTATGTGTGTGTATATGTGTGTGAATGTGTGTGTATGTGTGTGTGGGGGGGGGGGGGGGACACCAGACCTTGAGCAGAAACCCACTTCCCCTTCGGCCTGGGAGCAGGCATCTATGTAATGTTTACTGAAAACAATTCAGTGCTTTAGGGCTCAGATAGGGCTTGCTCACTGAAATACCATGCCTTTCACACCCCCTACGGCTAGATGCCTCTTCCTGTTTCCCTATGGTGTCTCCCCGATTCTGGGGCCGGAGATTAGACCACCAGCCAGGAGGAAAGAATGGTATGTAGATGAATGACAGAAGTCCTTAAAAAAGGGAAGCTCCCTTTTCTTGAGGGACTTCTCCTGAGACTTCTCTCTCCTAAGCGGACTTGGAATCTCCTCCTAAGCTGACTTGGGAGGCATAAAGTTTTCTTAAAGCAACCGACCGGTCTCTGTGTCATCTATCCCAACCACCTCGCTACATCCTCGGATGCAGGCCACACAGCAGGTGCGACATGTGTGTACTCCTCAGGCCCTTGACCATGTTGAATGAGCACTTGGTCACATTTGTTGAACCCCCATCTCTCCTGGTGTGATGGAGCAGATACCCTTCTCTGTGTCCCCAGGATTGACCCCACTTCCCCAGTGAAGAGTCTTTTGTTTTTCTCTCCACAGACCGCTACAGCTCTGAACAAGAGTTCGTGGACGATTTGAAGAACATGTGGTTTGGGCTCTACTCAAGAGGCAGTGAAGAAGGGGACTCGAGTGGCTTTGAACATGTCTTCTCAGGTAGGTTCCCTCTGCTTGGCAGGGACGAGTGGGAGGGACAGAGATGAAGGAGAGCGGGTTACTGCTTAGAGACTGGACAGCCCTGAGCATTGGTTACAGGCGGTCAAGCCACCTGACAGGGAGGGGCTCCCAGGGCAAGTATGAGGACATCTGAGGGATGGCAGTCTCTCTAGAATATCTAAGAGGGACGGAAAACCAGTCCTGGTGCTTCCAGGGTTCCATCTAGTGTGCATAGGTGCTTGCTGGCCTGTCTGCCTCTGAGTGGCCCTCTGCTTCCATGGCTTGGTTAGGGGCTCCCTACAGAGGCTATTGTGTCCCCTCATCCTGAAGGCTCCCCACTGAGCCTAGCTTGGTCCTGTGGAAACAGAGGGGTATGCCCGAGCGGAGGACTGTCTAGGAGAATGGAGTCTCCTGAGGTCTTGCGTCAAAAAGAGAGAACAGTCATCTGAGGGTGTCAGGCAAGGGGCTGAGTAAGCAGCTGAATAGTCGAGAAGTCAGCATGGAATGGAGGGGAGGGGGGTGGGAAGACAGCCCAGACCACCCACTCTGGACTCTATTACAGGTGAAGTGAAGAAGGGCAAGGTGACTGGCTTCCACAACTGGATCCGCTTCTACCTGCAGGAGAAGGAGGGCCTGCTTGACTATTACAGTCACAACTACGATGGGCCTGTGAGTGCCTGGGCGGGAGGGGCTCGTGCGTGCCCAGACTTCGTGCTCTTCCTCTGGCTGCCAAGCAATCAGTCTTGCTTCCCATTCTGGCTCTCCACAGTCACCCAACAGGGACTGAGGATAGATACCATGTCCTTATCTCCTAGAGAGCAAGTTTCTACCCCAAGTCCCAACAGTGAAGCCCCCAACACAGGAGACAGAGGGTGCTGCATCCAGGTGGCGGGCCAAGGCCCAATTTGTAGACCAGAGGACAAAGCACACATTTCCCCCTGCCTGAACATCCTCAGAGGGTGGCAGGAAGGTCCACCCTGGCTAACTGAGCTCAACTCCACATGCCTCGTGAGAAACATTTGCTGTCCTTAACCGGGAGACGATTTGGGGTCAATAAACTGGTAGCTGTGTCCCTACACTCTGGGTTGATCATGTGGCTCACATGTCACTCTGGCCTCATTGCCACTGGTAGCTTCAGACAGGGGGTCTGAGTGGGACGGAGACACTGCACAGTAGGCTGTCCCTTTTGTCTGTTTAAAGAAGTCAGGATCTCCAGAAGCTCCTCAAAGACCCTTGTAAATACTAGCAGACAGCTGGTGCCTGGTTCAATCATGCGACCTTTGCTGTCCTTTATTCTGCAGTGGGATTCCTACCCCGATGTCCTAGCTATGCAGTTCAGCTGGGATGGCTACTACAAGGAAGTGGGCTCGGCTTTCATTGGCAGCAGCCCCGAGTTTGAGTTTGCCCTTTACTCCTTGTGCTTCATCACCAGGCCGGGCAGGAAGTGAGTATTGGGGTGGACAAGGGGCTCGGGCAGTGGGGGAGTCTCCAGCCATTGTCCTCTAGGACGACCTCAGGGGAACCTGAATCTGCCACTCTGGCTGGGGAGGTCGGGGAAATTATTGTTCTTACCTTCGACAGCGAAGTGGTTAGGTTAGATTGGTAGCTTCCAGTCTTCATCTGAGCACAGAACCATCTATCTCCTTCCTTCCTCAAGTGAAACATTCAGGATAACAATCTACCAAGAAGTCAGAAGTGAAGTTGTCCTGGATCCCTGAGTGTGCCCCCCCTCTCCCCGACTGTTTGGGAGAACCACAGAGTCCCAAAGAGAACAGTTGATAATAAGTTGAGAATTTGTTTGGGTCCTAATTTTTTTTTGTTTTTACTTTTTGTGGGTGGGGTGGGGTGGGGGCTTTGTCTCACTATGTAACCGTGGTTACAGATCCTCTTGCTTTATAGCCTCTTGAGGGCTGCCGGGTTTACGGACACATGCCAAGTGCCTTCCTCTGGTCTTATTGCTTCCGAAGCAGAAAGCAAACACCTAATTTCTGAGCATTCGGCTCGAGGTGTTTAGAGTATTTCTCTGGGAAGGATGAGGAGCATTGTCCCATAGGCAGAGAGACACCAGGGTCCCGATTGGGAAAGCTTGCTAAACACAGGGAGTTGGGGTAGGGTCTGTCTGGGAGGATGAAGCCCTTCTGCTGGGGATGGCTAGGTCTTTCCCGTCTGGAACGGGGTGGGTGAAGTGGTGGGCTCCGCTGATTGGATGTAATCTTTCTCTACAGGTGCCACTTGAGCCTGGGTGGCTATCCTTTGTCCATCCAGACCTACACCTGGGACAAGACCACTTATGGAAATGGCAAGAAGTACATTGCCACAGCCTACGTAGTGTCTTCTACCCAATAGAGCTTGCATCCAGATGGGTTATGAGGGCAGAGGGCCAAGCTTGATCCAGGTGCTATTTGCTCTGTACTGGGGAGGGGTGGAAGGAGTCTGGGAGGAACCCCAAAGCCCAGATTTATGAAAGAGATCTCAAATCTAGATACACTTAGAAAAAATGCAAAAAATCAGCCAAATGTTTGTCTTCTTCTATTTTAGCAACATGAACTAGGAAATAGAGGCCCTCTCTGCCTGGAAAAGGTAGCAGCCCTCGAGAGTTCTTTAAAGAGTAGTGGGGCCATGAGCATGTCCTTGGCCTTACATTTCCCTTTAATGTGAAGGGGAGGGGTCTTTCCCCTTTCCTGCTTGAGGCTTGGGGAGAGGGTGACTCAGACAGTATTATGACTGTGACGGTGCCTTCAGTTGTTCGTAGGAAGAACAGGGGGTAGAAATTTGGGATTTCCAGACGGCTGTCACTGCTCACAGCTCTGCAATTGACTCAGCCTCGTGCTGGGCCCCAAGGAAGCAGGCCTTAGAACCAAGCAGGAGAGTCTTGGAGAGTCAAATCTCTGACAGCAAAGTCAGGGGTTGAGCAGTAAGTGGGCCAGGGCAGGTGGCCTCCTCAGTCCTAGATGTCTGTGTGGCCACCTCAGCCACACACTTCTAGAAGTTTCCCGCTTGCAAATGTTTAGCGCAGTTACAGACATGTGCTTTGTCCCACATAGTGCTTTGCTTTGTGTCAAAAGAGCACCCCTCGTAGGAGGAAGACTGAACATCAAAGGAAGAAAAGAAACTATAACTTGGTGTCACTGAAAATTATGCTAATGTTTATCCAGCTGCCGTAATTTGAAACATTCTAGGTTGGTAGAAGAGAGACCCTGGGATTCCTGTTTCAATCTCTATGATGTATTTATTCCCCCCTGTTGCTCAGAAGCCAGATGTGGCCCCATAGAGCCAGGCTTGTACCACAGCTTAGAGGCATCGAGTTTCCCATTAAAGTTACTGAAGAAAACCTGAAATGTGTTTCATCCTTGTATACATTGTCCCTGACTGTCAGTCTCCTGGCCTCCTCCCTGGAGCAGGAATGGAGGTCTTTGTAGCCTGGCTCACAGAATGTGGAGTCTGGGTAAAGCCCTTGAGGGTCGGCAAGTATCTGTAGCCAGTAGGAAGAAAGACTTCCTCCTGATACACTTGTAACATAACAAAGAGCATCACATGTGGGGTGTATGTCACTCTACAGAGTGAGTGCCAGGATAGGCTCCAAAGCTACACACAGAGAAACCCTGTCTTTAAAAAAAAACCAACCAAACAAACAAACAAAAAAACCACTTGCTGTTCTTGCAGAGCACCTGGGTTCAGTACCCATACCAGATGACTCATAACCACCTGTTTCTCCAGTTCCAAGGGAGATCTGATACCCTCTTTTGGCCTCCACAGGCACCAGGCATCTATATGGTACACATATATACATGCAGGTTCTCACAGACATTGGAAAATAAATGTTTGAAAAATGCAAGAGAGAAATAGCTTCTGTTGTGTTTAAGGTACTTTGACTTCAGGCTTTCTTTCAAACACAACTGAATGGTATACAGAGTCCGAAGGCTCACACATTGTCTTTGTAAACAAGGGCGGTTCATCCCTACAGCCCCAGTACTTGGGAGTCTGTGAGTGAACGCCATGGATGTGCATCACTGAGGCAGGAAGATACTGAGTTTAAGATTTGTCTGGATACAGATTAAGTTTCAGGCAAGCCTGGGCTACATAGTGTTCTGAAAAACAAACAAATGTAAAGAAAAAGAAAAAACCCCAACCAACAAAGAAGTTACTTAACTAACAACACCTTTTTGTTTGTTTGTTTGTTTGTTTGTTTGTTTTTCAAGACAGGGTTTCTTTGTGTAACAGCCCTGGCTGTCCTGAAACTCAATTTGTAGACCAGGCTGGTCTCGAACTCACAGAGATCCACCACCTGCCTCTGCCTCTGGAGTGTTGGGTTTAAGGGGTGCGCCACCACTGCCTGGCTTAAGAACCCCTTTCTTAAGACTCATAATGGTTGTAGAATCTTTCTACGCTTAACTGAAAGAGCTCAATTATTGGGACATGAAATTAATAGCATTTGCAATAGTCATTGCAGCATTTCGCCTTTGCAGTAATAAATGCATGCTTATTTCCACTGACTATTACAATTTCAACATATAAAGCACATATAGAGATTGTTTCTTCAAAAACGACTATTTAGAGATTAATAATAAATTCAACTGGGATGACTGGAGTTCATTCACAGAAAAATAAACAAATAACAGAAAGACACATTTTTATAGAAGCCCATTTAAAGACAGTCAACAGAAGTGGGAGGCATGCCGCCATCTAAAGAGAAACTGTTCACATCTGTCATAGTGGAACAGTGGTGCCTCAAAATTAGGAAGCAATGACCATGGAGATCTTTCCATTACAATTAGTGTTTCTCCTTTTGATTGTATTCAGCACACACATTGTGCTGAATACACGGGGTGGGGGTGGGGTTGGGGGGGTGGGGGATTGTTGATTTTTCTTACTCTCTTGGAGCCTACCACACAGCTCCCAAATAAGTACACAGAGACTTATTCTTACTTATGAATGCCCAGCCTTGGCTTAGCTTGTTTCTAGCCAGCTTTGCTAACTTAAATTATCCTGTCTACCTTTTGCCTCTGGGCTTACCTTTCTTTATTCTATATGCCTTTCTTTACTTCTCACTCTGTGGCTGGCTGTGTAGCTATGTGGCAGTGGCTGGCCCCTGGAATCTCCCTCTCCTTCTCCTTTTCTTATTTCTCTCCTTTTCTTCTCTCCTATTTATTATCTCTGTATGCCAGCCTTGCCTATCCTCTCTCCTGTCTCGCTATTGGCTGTTCAGCTCTTTATTAGACCAGTCGGGTGTTTTAGTCAGGCAAAGTAACACAGCTTTACAGTGTTAAACAAATGCCGCATAAAACAATGCAATATAGCTTTGCATCACTAAACAAATATTCCACAGCACAAACAAATGTAACACATCTTAAACTAATATTCCACAACAGGGTGGGGGGAGAAGGAAGGAAGATTCACCACCCAAGGGTGCTATGGAGTTTTCCTGGAGCAACTGACTGGCCCTGTTGTCGACTTTTAATCAACCCTGCCCAAAATTAATAAAACAAATGCTTTCCTAAGGACACTGATATCAGGCTGGAGAGATGGCTCAGAGGTTAAGAGCACTGATTGCTCTTCCAGAGGTCCTGAGTTAAATTACCAGTACCCACACGGTGACTCACAACCATCTATTATGAGATCTGGTGACCTCTTCTGGTGTGCAGGCAGGCAGAACACTGTACACATAGTAAATAAATACATATTAAAAAAGAACACCAATATCTATTTTAAATATTCATTATTAATTTAAACATATGAAGATGATTTAATTTTTTATTTTTTAATTAATTTATTAAATTTTTTTTGTTATGAGTGCTATCCCCATGTATGCCTGTAGGCCAGAAGAGGGCACCAGATAGATCTCACTATAGATGGTTGTGAGCCACCATGTGGTTGCTGGGAATTGAACTCAGGACCTCTGGAAGAGCAATCAGTGCTCTTAACCTCTGAGCCATCTCTTCAGCCCCCTGATTTTTTAATTTTTACAAATATTTTAATTTTATGTGTATGGGCATTTTACTTACATGTATGTCTGTGTATGATGGGTGTGGCTGGTGCCCAGGATGTTGGTTCTCCAGCAATTGGAGTTACAGTTGTGAGTCACCTATGGGAATCAAATCCAGGTCCTCTGGAAGAGCAGCCAGCGCTCTTAACTGCTAAGCTGTCTCTCTAGCCCTATTGTTAGTTTTATTTTTAGTTTTTAGGTTGGGTATCACCACAAGATTCTGGTTGACCTGGAATTTGCTATGTAGACCCTGAACTCACAGAGATCCACCTGCTTCTGCCTCTGGAATGCTAAGATGAAAGGTGTGCCCAGGCACACTAAGATTGTTTTTAAAGCCAGTTTTCTCTGCAATGGCTCCTGATGGTTGTGATGTTGTGCACACAATAGGATATGCTGAAGAGACAGAGACAGTAGAACTATGAATTCAAGGCCAGCCTTGGTCACACTTCGCTAAAAGCCAGTTTATTTAACCATTACCATCAACAAAATCTTTAATGCTCTATTCTAAAAAAATATTTATTTTTATGTGTACATGTGCTTGCCTATATGTATGTATACCACATGCATGCCTGGTGCTGATGGAGGCCAGAAGAGGGCCCCTAGAACTGGAGTTAGAGAGGTGTAAACTGTCATGTGGGTGCTGGGAATTGAACCAGGGTCCTTTGGAAAAGCAGACAGGACTCTTAATCACTGAGCCGTTTCTCCAGCCACCAGACAGCACTATTATTATTATTTTTTTGGGTGGGGTGTTTGACACAGGGTTTCTCTGTGTCTTTGGAGGCTGACCTGGAACTAGCTCCTCTGGACCAGGCTGGTCTCAAACTCACAGAGATCCACCTGCCTCTGCCTCCTGAGTGCTGGGATTAAAGGTGTGCACCACCATCGCCTGGCCAGATAGCATTCTTAACCATGGAGACATATCTCCAGCCTCTGATCTTTACTTTTAAATGAATTTAAAATAAACAATCACACAGTGGAGGAGAGGTTCTAATTATATGACCTTGTGGGGAAGATCATTGACTGGCACCTGGGTTAGTGGCCCTCAGATTGAACTGCACAGCTGTATCTCATGCTGTATCTGATTGATGCTGAGGTTGGATTTCTGATTAAGTCAAACCTCTAGGGTAAGATTCATAAATCAGCGTGTGAGCATGTGTGGGACCCCCCCCCCACTGCCTCCTTGGATGATTCTAAAGTTGTCAAATTTGTGAATAACTAACTGATCTTACTTGGGAATGACACAGTGGATTCAATTTGAAAACTGCTTTGTGTTTGTGGACTTTTAAAAATTGTATGTGTTTCATCATACAACTTTAGAATTGTTACAGTAGGAGAAGCTCACTCACAAAGGAGGCAGAAGCAAGAGGCACAGGTTTCAAAGTCTCTGTTTTAGATAAGTCAGGGTATATCTAAAGACGGACATAAACCTGGGATCCACAGATACCCTTCGAGAAGGAAAAACGTTACCAGTAAAAAAGTACAAGGAAGACAAGCAGCCAAATGCAAGCCTTACAGGGAGAACAGCAGGGTTACCAGCGTAGACAGTTCTCTGAGAAGTAATAGTAACTTTCTCCTATGATCCTCATATAGAGGCCACAAGCATCTCATTAGCCAAGAGCAAGACAGCTCTCAGAGACACAATCGACCTTATTGCTGGGGGGAGGGCGGGGGGGCGGTCGGAATATGTCAGGATGGGCTCACTTTTGGGGTTCTCACTCTTAGCTTATAAATTAATTCAGTCTGGGGTCTGGAGAGATGGCTCAGCGGTTAAACGCACTTCAACTCCCAGCAGCCACGTGGTGGCTCACAACTATCTGTCATGAGATCTGGTGCCCTCTTCTGGCCTGCAAGCAGGAAAAAAAAAAAAAAAAGTCTGTCCCCCGAAGCTAGCGGAGCTAGACAAGCCTGCGCGGGAGGGAGCTGAACCTTCTGCGCACGCGCGGGCGGCGCGCGGGGCCTTATGGGAAGGCTCCGGCCTCCGGAGGCGGTGTCTGACGCCGCGCGTCTCCCTGGCGGCGGTGTGTGGTGACGGCCGCGCTGGGTGAGCACGCTTTCCCGGTACCGCTGGCTGCAGGGGCGCTGGGGTGCCGGGCGGGAGCGTGGGGCGGGGCTGGGCCTGGCCCGCAGTAGGCGGCGGTGGCCCGGCCGCGGGGCTGTGCGGCCGGCTCCTGAGTGTGCTCCTCCGCGCGCCGCCCAGGCAGGCCTGCGCGTTCGGCCTGGCTCTCCGTCCCGGCTCGGCGGTCTGCGCTGGTGGGCGCCGCGGAGCCACTGTCCGGAGAGCGCCGCGCACCGGCAGCTTCCTGTTGGCCGGCTGTGCGGGGTTTGCTGCTTGGATACAGAGTGTGAAGGCGTTTC